AACTGGGTTATGCAAAAACTTCCATGCTACGCCGGAAAGAAACCTAGAGAACTTTGCTACCATCCGAACACAACGTCGCAAATTCGACGAAACTGTTACCTGCGTTTTCGTCGCATCATTTCCTACTTCTTCTTACGCTCGGGCTCGACGAACACATCGGAAGCCGCGAATCTGTGTCGCTCTCCCGTCTAAATGAAACTTTTTATCGTGCCGATTTGAAGCGTCGATGCCCGTGCGTTCTGAACGACTACCGTCGCGGCACGAACGGCGTCCATAATAGGCTAGCGTCGATTCGAACCGGCTTTTACCGATCTTGGAATTTTGCTTATTCATATGGCCGTTTATCGCGGCTCGCGTTATTAAATTATTGTCACGGTCGAGCACTCCGAGAAGCGTAATGGAAAGAAGAAGCCCGGGCGAATTTACGAGAATTGGCTGATCAGAGGGAAACAGGCGTCGTAACGCGACGTGTGACGATTTTCACGCTGCCGTAGCAACGTCGTTACGCTGAAATCTGAATCGGCGTGACATCGTGCTGACACGATAGCCGCGTTCCGCGTTACGGAATCCTCAACACGCTGAATATGGATGATGATCCTCCTCCTCCTCCGGCGGGCTCTATTTGTGGTACATTGAGCTGTCACACCGGCCATGGAATTATGAAGGCTCCCGATGATAACCCGTTAAGCGTACGTACTAATGGACGACTAGCCAAAGCACGTCCTAGAATTTACGCCGTGAGCGTTCACGCTGATTTCAACGTCGTCAGTTCTTACCGAAAATACTGGGTGACGAAGCGATTTCTGGAGCATCGTTTCCGTCAGCTAATCTCGGGGCCGCCGCGATATTTCTGATCGAGATCGGGTCGTTTCTTCGTATCGCGGTAGCCGGAAAGCCGATGTCCAATCATAGTGGATATATTTTTGCGGTTGTAATAACACTTATTATTAGAAACGTGAAAGAACACGTAGTAATTAACTCTATGCCGCTCCCGTTTATTCACGCCCGGCCATCGTTCGCAGGAAAATAAGTCAGATCTGACTTCGATGGAGTGGGGACAGGTAACGCATGCGCCGGAAGTCTTATGTGGAGCGCGGCATCTACCGGGTCAACGTTATAATTCGCAATTATTAACGCGATGCGAGGTAGAGGATTAAAGATTAAGGTCTGCTTAAGATCGTTTTGTATCCATGCAAGAAAAAGTGCTATAAATATTATTTTTTCCGTTCGAGGTAGAGCAAATTCCCTCTAATTGTCCCTCAGCTTACAAACAAGAATGGACAATTTGGGAAGAGTAGATTCTATTATTCGACCCTCGCGGCTCGTTTTTATAGTTATCGATTGTCAACAACCATTAAAAGTGAAATACAAGGCTCGAATAATCGTATCTCCCCTTCACAAATTGTCCATTTTTGTGCGAAATCTGAGCGCGAATTAGGGAGAAATTGCTGTATCTTCTCAAAGCATCAGTGTATATATATATATATATATATATATATATATATATATATATATATATATATATATGTCTATTAATCCCTACTCCAATCTCGATCCAGAATGAATCCAACAAACTGCATGGCAACAACCGTTGAAGACACATCGATGCGAAAGAAAAGTGCAACCACTTCATCATTATGAAACTCCGGCGGCCGAAAATTGTACAGTACGCTCTTGAAGCATCTGCAAACCTACATAAAGAATTCCGAGACAATCGGCGGCTATGAAAACGAGTCGCGAGGCTCGAATAATCGTATCTCCTCTTTCCAAATCGTCGGTGTTCGTTCACAAACTGAGGGACAACTGGAGGGAATTTACTGTATTCATTTATAGATTATTGTTAAATAATCTTTTAGATACCTATTTCATCTATTCAGGTACCAGAGAAAATAAAGCATGAAAAATGCATAAAAGAAGATTGCCAGAACAAAAATACATGTATACAATTCTGTGGAGATTTCTCGACCCACTCTTAAGCATGCTTGGCTTAAGCGTCGCGAAGATAAGCGTCGTATATCCATGACAGATCGCGGTGCAACAAATTTCTCTTGTGTTCGAGCTATCAGTTTGCAGCCGGCTCGCTGATAGCAACGCTTAACTGAATTTAAATATGAAAAGTGATACACTCCGTGCCTCCGACTTCGATTCATCAACGCGGCTGATCGATTGCGAGATTAGTCCGGTGCAAGCGTATAAATTAGTCGAACGATTTCAATACTCTCGTTAACGTAAGACCTTGCGAACCTTGACCGAGAAAGCGAGAGAGTACGAGAGACAGAGCCCGGGAGGGAGAGAAAACTGGAGTCGCAAACTGGATCTGAATGTCTCTCGGAAAACGTGCATACATTATTCGTCGCGTGGAACTGTTACATTTAAAAGAAAAGAAACGGACAAAATAAGGTACTTGCTGTGCAGCTCATATTGAGCCGGTTCTGCCAACGGTACATTCGTGTTGGATTAGCTTCCTGTTTGGTGCACCAAATTCTCCGGCGCGTTCTCTTTCCACGGATTCGCGATGCGTGCGCGTGTATGCGGTGACCATGCGCACGTATAGCGTATCTTCTTCCGATGCAGAAGTCGTCGGAATGAACGGTCTGTTTGCGTTTGAAAATCGAGTTTTTCTTATTACATAATCCGCCGCCTGCTGGCTGCAGTTCATCTCGTTTCTCATCGCGGCGCTTCGCCTATCTCAAACATCCACGTCCACCGAGCTGTATGAAAATTGTCCACACCGCGTTACCGAGACGTTATAAATTATTCCTTGCATCAGCGAGTGGAATGCTGCTTGAGAAATGATTCCGCCACGGTTCCATCATGCTCGGCCGCGAAAAACGAGCGCCGCGAGTTAACATTGATCCTGCGCGAGACCATTCTCCTAACCGTAACTTCATCATCCTTCGCCGAGTTTTTCGCTGGACGTCGCGGTTCGGTTCGATCCGATTTGCACGTTCGTTTCGCGCATCGACGGAATCGACGCGCGAAATGCTCCCGTCGCTTCGCGAACAGAGAACGGATACATTATTTTACTAGATTAAACACCGCGGCGGGTTCTCGTTACGTTCAGCGCTTTTCCGTACGGTGAACATGGAACGTCCGTTTTGTACACTCGTTAACGCGGCCGATGTTTAATACGCCGGGAAATGTTTTTCGTTGCGCGCCGAGGGTGGTTTCTTTGGAATTGCGTTTGCGCGTACGCGAATGTGAAAATTGTTGTTAATTTACTTGGAGTATTTTCATGGGCAATATTGTAATCAACCGCAATATACACACTGGCACGGTATGATTTCTGATTTATACGACTGCCTTTAATGGATGCTTTGTGATGTGTTAATTGGAAGGCGATGTTTCAGTCGATGAGAAGGGGTACCAATGTACGAGACACATTAATTTCTTGAAACGCTTGGATAACGAATGCGAAGAAGGCTTCTCGATGGCTAATAAATTTTAAGCGTCGATTGGGAATCCTTTAAATTATAACGAAGTGATAGATTATAACGAAATAATAGTAAACTGCATTATGGTTCGCGAGGCTGCCAATCATAAATCATTGTCAAAATCAAAGTTTTCTACAGTGGACAGTGGACAGAGAGATAATTATCCAAATGAATTCTTTTTAGTCGAATATTTTATTCGGATAACGATTATTCATAATTCTTTGGTCGAATAATTCTTGATACGAATAAATTATTCGCATAACTTTTGATTCGAATAATTCTTTATTCGAATAAATTATTCGCATTACTCTTAATTCGAATAATTCTTTATTCGAATAAATTATTCGTATAACTCTTGATTCGAATAAATTATTCGCATAATTTATTTGCATAATTCTTTATTCGAATAGACACTGTAAAAATAATAATCCGAATAATTGTACAATTTTTGCTTTTACGTAATTTTATAAGAATATATGAATACATTCAACATCAGTTATCGACGACGAATCTTTGAAAAAATCAACATTTGGAAAAAGGAATACGGAAGAAATGAATCGATAAACTATGAAAATAATCCTCTATATTCTATCCTTTCTTATTCAAATCGATTGTTTTCTTTTCTTTATTTCTCTACGAATAAATTTTTATTCGAATGAATTCTTATTAACCTAGATGAAGTTTAATTCGACTGGATATTTATCCGACAGTGTCGAACAAAATTTGATTCGTTAAGTCATCCGAATGAAATTTTGTCCAACTCTGTTCAGTATCATTCCGAAGCAGACTGTAACCGAGGGAAAACAAAAGAATCTCTCGCCACTTAACAGTCCGACCAATTCCAATAGCATTCGTCTGGCGGATCTCGCCAGCAGGATGCGACTGTCTGTCACGGTGAGTTAGCCTAGCAGAGCACGTCGGTGTCTCGGCCACGAATTACTCGGGTAATGGCCGACAATTAAAACTAAACACAGGCTGTCATCGTAAAAATACGAGACGCTCCGCAGCGAAAACACACGGTGTTTCGCCCGGCGCTGTCGCCCATTCGCGTAATACGAAATTAAATAGAAGAATCTGCAGAGGGATCGATAAGGGCGGAGAGGAACATTGATGGCCGTAGTAAAAACGGCTCGAGGGCCGCGCATAAAGGGTCGCCGCGCGACTGCCCCTCACAATATTTATTCGAAGTAACCGGCGAAACAGGATGAAAAAAGTTGCAGGAGCGAGCGAAGGCGCGATCAAAGCGGTCCGCGAAAAATATCCATCGCCGTAAAAACCGTTCCACATTCGACTGCCGTTCATCACTCGGGTCTCCTTTTCGCGGCGCGCTACCCTCTCTCTCTCCTTCTCCCACTATATTGTCCTTTCTTTTTTATTCGTCGTGGAAACGCTCGGCTCTCAGCACTTTGCCTGCCCCAACGCGGCATCGGAGAGAGTCTCTCTCTCCCTCCCCCCTCTCTTTCTCTCTCTCTTTTTCCCATTCCCCGCGTTTTCACATCGCGCGCAATTTCCAAGCACACTTGTCTACGCAGTGTCGACGACGGCGCCGAGGCACGGCGCGGGTCGGAGCGAGTCGCTGCGCCGAGTAGCGAAGGAACGAACGTTCTCTCTGGGTGCAAGCACAAAGAGACATCTGAAATTTCTGCACTCCGGCCGGCGAACGTTTTTCGGGAGGGACGGGGGAATTAATGGCGTGCGCACCCCGAATAAAGTGCCCCTGTGCGGCCGGTGAAAGCGCGGCCGCTCGCTCGCACCCGCTCGTGCCCGCTCGCAGCAACTCGCAGCAACTCGCAGCAACTCGCTAGGTGGTAAAAGACAGCCGGGGAGATTGCAGATGAGGAGGAAATAGAAATAGCGACCGAGGGGCGGAAACCGGCGGCCAGCCGGGACGTAACCACGTTTAGTAAACACGGGGGTAAGTTACATCGTCGTGCGGCAAACGACAAAACAAAGTTTGATACGCGCAGGGAGCTACGTCGCCTCTGGACTCCTCCTGTCTCTTCCTCTTTCCTCTCTCTCTCTCTTTCTCTCACTCTCTTTATCTCTCTCTCTGTCGCTTCTCGGTTCTGTCTATCTCGCTTGTTTCCTCTCGTTGTCCTCTCTCAGCGTTCAGCGCCCCCGCTGAGAGTTTACGGCTTGTCCAGCGAACTCTGGCGAGGCTGTTTATCCGCAAAAGTAATTATCCGTTGTCATCGCTCGATTTCATCGCGACCGCGCCGCTGGTGGCGACAAGGGCCTTGCCAACTTTCGAAAGACACCTCGCGCTTCCGGCTGAGCGGAGCCGAGAAAACCGCGCGGACACTGTCTCGTGAACACTGTCTTCCCCCCCTCTCGGACTATGTAAAAGCGGATTATGTAAAATAACCGAACGGATGCAATTCTCGAATCTGTCTGGATCGAATCTTCGAACGTTCGGTTGGGAACGTTGTTGCTGTGGGGTAATTATTTGCGATCCTCTGTGCTGGTATTGGTTGCCTTCGATGTGGAATCGGTGAGAGTCGCGGTGACGGATTAAAGTATTCGTGCAGCTAATATTTTAACGCAGTCAATATTTTAACACTAAGATTTACGGAGCATTTACACTATATTAAATAGAGCTGTTTTATATTAGTTTATAGAAGTAAGAATGAGACGTTTATTCTGATTTCGAACAAATGTTGTTGCAATATTTGCCGCAAGTGACACGTATATTGTATAAATAACTCGTAAGCGTGCCTTTAAATTGTGAATAATCCTGAATTAAAAACTTGTGTATATTTTTCACCGACAACGTTTAAATATGATGCACAATTTTAGCTAGAACTCATAGAACTATACACGAAGCCCGTAGAAAGTTTGAAGTTTTAATTTTCTGCTAGTCTAGCATAATCGTGTCACAAATGAACAAAGGCAACTAAAAGGCACACTGTCTTGTAGTTCAAGGATTATATCGATCGCAAGAATGTTTGTTCACAAATCATCAATATCTTTCTGGTCAGAAATTCGTGAAGGGTGTAGGTACACTTCAAATGCTTAATTTTGACTAGTAATTTCCAGAAACGTTTCGACCACGCCTCGTGCATGCTCTCAAAAATCTGTCTATCAGGATCACGCCTAGTATCGATAATACTTCGATTTATCCATCAAACATCGCACGTGGGAGATAAGATTCGTAACTGTCATATTCGATGAGATTGACATATTGACGTTTATCGTGTATATGCAATCGGTCGTTGCGATCTGTTTCAGTGAATGTCTATCCAAGGCGATTGGATATTCTGATAGTATCTATCACAGATGCAATTCGCTATCTGTCACTTCATTATTGCATCCTGTGCCTTAAACAGCTGTGAACCGTTTAATAGATCCATTAAATTATAGGATCTATTAAACGCGATGGCGAACTAATAGTTACATCGAATATATCTTTATTCCATTAAATGCATGTTTATTATGTGACGGTGCGAATTGACAATATTTAATAACGTCTCGTCGAAGTGTTCATTACTTCATCGATCAAATAGACACTGTAATTATTTAATTACCGCACAAAATGATAGCAATTGAGTGCTATCTTTAATTTTTCGTAATTTTGCGTAAGTGTAATATATTATTTTTAACGTAAACCACTACCAAAGCGAATGACTCAACTGAGAATAAACGCGAATGTGCACATAATTATTACTAGTATATAAACATGTAATAATTATGAGCGTGCCATCATTTCGGCCTCAAAAACCAGTCTACGTTGTTCGGAGTAAACGTCAAAGCGGGCGACGCGATATTCCAAATCGAATTCCTTTCTTTTGCGGTTGTCGCATTTATGTATTATTTTCTGTAGATAATAAGACCTAAGCTGTTCTCCTGAAAAATTGAAGATAGCGCATGCGCGGTATCATTTCGTCCGGGACTGTGTTAAGTTAAGTTAATTTTAGTAACGAGTGCATAATGGTGACACGTTGCTAAACCTGACTACGTACGGGCTTAAAACGGAAAATTAGCTGAAACGTCAGCCGTTTGTTGATAGCCAAGCATCCATGTAACAGCTGAGCGTGAAACAAGGCGGAATTGGCTCACCTAATGTCCTTGTATATGTATAATTTAGAGCGCGCAAAGAGCCGTTCGACGCGGAATTTCATTTGCTAAGCGGGTATTCGTCTGTGGGGCCACAAAACTCTCCGCCTCGTGACATGGTCTCTTTGTTCGTGCCTGAAGAACGATTAATTATATGTTTGCGGGGGAATTCGAAGCACTCGTGCGATCCGCGTTCTCGTTACAGGTGACGCGATGTGGTTTATCAGAGCCAGTGCGAATTAATCCGGTGTCAACCAGCGATCGGAGATAATGATTCGCGCGGGGCGCGTTCGCTTTGCAATAAAGCGCGCCGCGTCTCGCACGCTCGAGCTCGAAATTTCATTTGATTCCTTTGACGTTCGAAACGCTGCAAGACAATCGAAGCAGGAGACGGTTGAAGTGCTAATGAACAGATAGAAATTATTGTCGCAAGAAGACGTAAAATGAACTTCAAATCGAATCTTTTAGGCTTCAAAATTACACGCGATTTTGGCGATTTTACCGAGCACAAATATGTATCGAAAAGAATTTGCGAGTCAACAAGATTCGGCATGTAAAAACACAGGGGAAGCATGAACTGCAATTTTCAGCTGTTGCATCGCAGCATGTTTATATATGGTAATTGCACTGTGGTATTATTGTCTGTCAAACAATACCGCGCCGCAAATAATATTTGCAAATCGGAAAGATGTATAACGTGCAAATTCGATGACCAAACAGCGCTCTCGAGTTCGAGCACTTGATCATTCTTTAATGCGAACAGCTGCGTAAAACGGAATTTCAACGTTGCTGCATTGCACGATAAACATAATTATGCAATCGCCAAAACTTACCTGTCGCCTGTAACCGCTGGTGTCCGAAAGTCCTCTGCTTTTCTGCACACACAAATACAGATGCGGTTAAATTCGATGCACGAGAACCACGAGGAAACGCAAGGAAACCGCGAGAAAATCGACTGCATAGCGAAGATATAAGAGCGAAGGACAACCCAAATACCCAGAAGGCGTGAGCATCGAATTTAACAATTGCTCGGCGATGCAAGAAATACGACCGTAGAAAAGCTGTTCATTTTCTTTCAGCATTTGCAGCTGTCCAAGAACGACGAAGATATTAATTAAAGCGGAACGACAACAACTTGTCGAATGAATTCTTTAAATACGTTCTAGTTGTGAAATTAAAAATTTTAATAATTCAAGGTTTAACGCGGGCCGGAGAAAAATGATTTGAAGCACTATTTGAAATACTAATAAGAACGAGTTTCCCTATCAAAGGACCAAATCCGAAAACAGCGAAAACGAAGTTGCAATTAGCGAGCGTAAACGCGGAAACGTCGCATTTCTAGCTAATAATATCGTGGGTTCAAAGGACAGAAAATTATGTGTTCATTTAGCCGGGCAAACAGAAAGCAACCCTTGAGTATTCACCGATACAATAAAAGTCGAGGAGCATTGTTTCGTGCGGCCAAGCCCGGCAATTTAGTTCACGATTTCTTCGCGAGCAACAGCAGAAATTAATTTCACGCGGAGCATTTCTAGCGAAACACTTTCTTCTCTTTTGTAACCTCGTTTTCATGCGCAGCTTGCCTTTTCAGCTTCCGCAAACCCGATTCATCGAAACTCTTCCCGCGGCTTCGCGAGCGCGTCGGGAAACGGGCGAAAACAATTCAAAGGAACGAGTGTCTTCAAATTGATCCAGACGCGGTAATGTTACGCGTCGTGAAAAAATTCATTTCATCTCTGCCGCGAGTCTATTCCATTTGAAAGCAAACCTTTCTCTGTGCATTGTTGTCGCTCGAATGTACTGGGTGTCCTTAAATTTTCTTCATTTTAGTGACATAACGTTAAATATTGGTGCATTCTACTGATAAAAAGCTGCTTTCGTCTGTTGAGACTGTTCGTTTACGTTGAGGATTAATCGATACAATAGTTTCCGTTTACGTTTGCCGATAAATTAGGTGTAGAAGATTTAGAATCCAGAATTTTCGAGAAAGAGTGAAGAGCTCTGGTGAGCTGACTGGAAGCCTGAATGTGTTAGAACAAAGAGAGTAAAGCAATTATTGTAAGACTGAAAAGTATTTATTATTTTATATTCCGTTTTGCTTTTTTCCTTGAACCGAAGGCAATGTAAGTTTTGTTTTTATTATTAACCCTTTGCACTCGAGACTATTTTAACTCCAAAATGAAGACATTTGTTTCAGCCTACAGTATTTGCATTTGTTCCGATTGTTTTTATTTGATACATGTGAAATTGAACGTGTATGATTGTAGAACACTTCTATTATTTTCAAAAATTCTTTTGAAAATACTGTAGCAATTTTTAGCGTCGCCTCAGAGTCGTCAGTCGAGTACAAAGGGTTAACAAGAATGCAGTTTCATTCGATAACTGTTCAATCTTATGCATTCAATAATTCGTAATAGAACTAATCATTGTTCGCTTTTGATTGTATCATTTCCTGTTTAAATATATAAGCTGATTAAACATCAACAGTTTGGCTGTATCGAATGCAACTTGAGAACTAACATTTTTTCAAAATTGAACGTCAGCCGCGAAGTTATTTTATTTTCAAATACACAGTGCCCAAGTGTTAAAAATCGCCTCTCAAACAAGCTGCTTCCAAAGGAAACGCTTACAATACGTTATTGTGAGTGATCCTTTATGGCCAGACTGAAATTACTGTTGATTTTGCAAGATATATTAAGAAATCTTCTGCTGTGAAACAATCGCGTCTTAGAATTGCTAAATACATAAGTACATAATGCGTGCACTGTGAATCTCTATGCATTCATGATTTCTGCGTGCCACAAAGGACCGTCTATGTCAACTAAAGTTAACCCTACGCCGCGAAGGTATTCTTTTTACCAA